CTGAGACTCAAATCAGTGGTCATGTTGGATACCAGCACCACAGGCAGCAGCTTTACCTACTACACCACACTACTGGCCCCGTGGTTATTATTTTGTCACAGGGAAAGTATACAAGTTAGGGGCAGCCCAAGGAAGAAACTCCTAGGAAAGTTCTCGAGAGTCCCAAAGGAACACATCCCTGTCCCCAGGATGTGGGGCATCACCCAGTGCCGATATAGAACACCACACAGGGATGATTGCTAATCCACCACGCTCTGCTGAGCTCACAAGAACAGAGCTGTAATGCATAGTTAGGGTTACACATGTCATGGATGTTGATCTGAGTCTCCCGCTTTCTTCCCAAGGGGAGGTCAGGATGCTCCCACAGAACCCAACACCCCAACTTTGTAAACACATAGATTTCTTATCACATACTTACAGTAGGGGAGGGAAACTCACCAGGCAGGGAAACACTTGGAGGCTAGTGGTCAAGATCAAATGGTGTCAAGGTGGATGCTGGCCATAAAGGCTTCCAGGGGGAAGTGGACCAGGGACAGAATGGGGAGAACAGATGGGAAGACCATGACACATAGAGCTGGGACAGAAACCATTGTGTTGCATTCAAGAGAGCAAGCAACATTTCCTAATTTCCCCCAAATATATGCAACAGCTATGGCTTGGCCAGGTCAAAGCAAGTAGCTGGGAGCTCAGTCCAGGTCTCCCAAGTGGGTGGCATGGACCCAAGCACTTGAGCCATCACTGCTGCCTCCTAGAGTGCACGTTAGCAGGAAGCTGGAGTCGGGGGTACAACCAGAACTTGCATCCAGGTGCTCTTATACGGGATGTGAGTATCCCCAGAGGCACTTTAACTACTATGCCATATACACAAACTTTCCCTTTTTTAAAAAAAAATCCAAAAAGAAACAGGGTCAACATGATCCAATAAATAATGATCCAATAAAGAAGGCACAGAGCCCAGGCTCTGTGAACTTTTAGGGGCTTATGAAAATGCTTCCATTTCTTTTAAAAAATTAGGATGGAAAACTGCAGATAGAACCCTGGAGGGAGCAGTAAGTGACATTTCCTGTAGTTGTCACCTGCATGGGAAACCTGGATTGAGGTCCCTGTAAATATTTGGGGAGTGACCCAGCAACTCCCCAGTTAGCTGCAGCAGCCAGGCCTGGGCCAGGTCAAAGCTAGGATCCTGGAGCTCCATCCAGTTCTTCTAAGGGGATGGCAGGAGCCAACCACTTGGGACATTGTCTGCTGCTTTCCCAGACACAGTAGCAGGGAGCTGAAGGGAAGTGGCAGAACCAGGACTTGAACTGTTGCCCATATGGACGCCAGCATTACACCAGGGCTACCTATTCATGCCATGCACCCTTTCGTAAGATTTAAATTGGAGACAAGCCTCTGCCTGCATTGGCCCCAGGGCCAGTGACTTGGAAGAATTAAACACAGAAATGGAAAATAAAACACGGTCATAGGTTAAACCAAAGGGAGCATCCAAATGGATGACAAGAGCAATGTTCACCCCCTTCCCCTCCAAATGCCTACAGCAGCCAGGGTTGGGCCAGGCCACAGCTGGGAGCCAGGAGCTCCATCTGGGTCTCCCATGTGGGTGGCAGGGACCCAGTCACTCAAGCCATCATGGCTGCCTCCCAGAATCTGCATGAGTAGCAAGTTGCAGTCAAGGAGTTGGAGTCAGAAATTGAACGTGTGGACCACTAGGTCATATGTCACTAGGTCACCACAACCACTAGGACCAATGCACACCTCCTTCTTGGCCTTTTTGCTTTTAAAGGAAATTAACTTAGGGGTTGGTGCTGAGTCCTAGCTACTGTTATAGCTTCTGATCCAGATTTCCGCTCATGCACCTGGGAAGGCAGAAGATGTGCAAATGCTTGGGCTCCTGGTACCCACGTGGGAGAACCTGGGTGCAGCTCCCATCCCATGGCTTCGGTCTGGCTCACACTTTGCTGCTGCAGCCATTTGGGGAAGTTAACCAGCAAATGGCAGATTTATCTCTCCATCTCTCCCTCTGCCTTTCAAACTAACCAATCAATCAATAAATGTTTAGAACAGAAGACACTAACTTATCAACACTGTCTTGGACTCCTAAGTAGAAGGACCTAATCCCACTTTACCCATGAAAAGCCCCCAAATGACCTGGTGCCCCCTTGGCAACCTGCCATGCTCTCTCTTCTGGCCACTAGGGGCTGCCATGCTGGCCCACCTTCACCAGGGAGGCCTGGGCCCTGGCAGAATCCTTACCACCTTCAGCTTTGGGTGAGTTCTTTTAGGGGCAGAAAAAAAAAAAAAAAAACAATGAACACACAACAGTGTGCAGATCAAAGTAGGCTAGGTTGAGTCATAGCCAACCCCTCCTGGAAGTGTCTATGCACTAACTACCCTTCCCCGCCAAATTTCTGGAGCAGGTCTGACATGGTGTCTAAAAGGCTATGGAATTGGAAGTAGCAGGATTTTGTCTAGATTAAACTGGTGGGCTGTCTCGTGAACCCTTAAAACACATGAGAACTTTCTTTGGAGAAAGACAGAGAGGGCTCCCATTCAAGTCCCTGCTGCTCCACTTCCAATTCAACTCTGCTAATGGCCTGAGAAAGCAATAGAGGATGGTCCAAGTCCTTGTGTCCCTGCACCCAGGTGGGAGAGCAGGAAGAAGCTCCTGCTCCTGGCTTTGGATAGGTCCAGCTCTGGCCATTGTGACCATTTTGGTAGTGAACCAGTGGATGGAAGACCTCTCTCTGTTGCATTGGCTCTGCCTCTCTAACTATGCCTTTCAAATAAATAAATGAATCTAAAAAAAAAAAAAAGAAAAGAAAAGAAAAGAAAAAATAAACAAACCTGCCTAAACCACTTGGTTCCTAGGCCCCCAACACTAGCTCCTCCAGAAACCAAGATTTTTGCCTTTATTGTGCATTTGATGACAGCCACTGGGAAATCCCAGCTGTCTACGGGGGAGAGCTCTGTGGGCCAAATGTGTCCATGGGGCTCAGCTCCCATAGTGGGTCAGAGTCCCCCGTGGGGTAGAGTGTGCAGTATAGAGTCTTGGGTCCTCACGGGGAAGATCCTCACTGGATCTTGATAGGGTCTGGGAAGGGGCAGGTTCCAGAGGGTTCTGGTGGTGGTGGTGGGGCCGATATCTGTGGGTTAATCTACAGAGTCACAGTGGATAGGTGGGGGTGAAGAGGGGTCCCACAATGGAATGGGTTCCAAGTTTGAGTGGAGGTCTGAAGTTTCAATGGGGGGGCTACAATTTAGGGGAGCGGTTGTGGGGGAGTCAGACTCGGGGGTCTAGAGTTTTCTCTTGGGAGGTGAGATGGCCTGCTTGGGGGGTCTGGAGTCCAGGTATGGGGGCAGGTAAGGTCCAGGCACTGTCAGGACTGAATTCCAGATGGAGTGGCATGGGGTCTCTGGTCCCAGCAGAGGCTGAGTGAGGGCATCAGAGGGCTGGCTGTGGTGGTATATGGTAGGAACAGATTTGGGTGGGGCTTGCAATGCAGGGGACTGTCCTGGTGGGGACATGGGCGGGGGTCTGCTGGTAGAGCTTTGGTCAGCAGTCCAGGGGGATGGTACAGGTACTGGCAGGTGTGGGTGGGAGTTAGCAAGCTAGGTAACCAGTCCAGGCAGGGATCCCTGCTAGGATGTGGGGGGCTGCCATCTACGTGGGGGTTTAGGCAGGGGTGATACTGATTTGCTTATTCATATTTCTGAAATTAATAAGCTGTGTGGGCTCTGAATATTGGCGCAAATAGACCAGATGACATGAAGTTTTTCAACCTTTTTATTCAGTGAGAAATGCATAGGAAAGTGAGGGCTCAATCTAAATGAGAAACGAAGTCTAGATCTTTACCTAGCAGAGAGTAGGTCAAGAGCCACGTGTAAGCATTTTTTATTTATTTTTTTTATTTTTATTTATTTATTTTTTACAGGCAGAGTGGACAGTGAGAGAGAGAGAGAGACAGAGAGAAAGGTCTTCCTTTTCCGTTGGTTCACCCTCCAATGGCCGCCGCGGCCGGCGCGCTGCGACCAGCGCACCGCGCTGATCCGATGGCAGGAGCCAGGAGCCAGGAGCCAGGTGCTTCTCCTGGTCTCCCATGGGGTGCAGGGCCCAAGCACTTGGGCCATCCTCCACTGCACTCCCTGGCCACAGCAGAGAGCTGGCCTGGAAGAAGGGCAACCGGGCGCCGCTAGGCGGAGGATTAGCCTAGTGAGCCGCGGCGCCGGCCCGTGTAAGCATTTTGTTATGAGCAGCTACCATTGGCAGCTTATCATGGCAGAGATCACGGGCAGCCCAAAGGCCAGGTGCCCAAAGGCATAGGGCAACAGGGTAACAATGGTCAATAATAGGGAAAGTGCCTGACCCACCTTGTTTCAGGCCTTTTAACCACTCCAAAGGGGAGTGGTTATGTAGCCTGATTGGCAGGCGGGCATACAGGTGGGGTCAGGTAGGGGCAGGAGATCACACAGGAGGCGTGGTAAAGGCGTGGTCTGTCAGCTCACAAATCTAATCCAGTCTGCCTACATCAGGGGGTCTGCAGCCCCAGCGGGGTCTCCGCGGGGACGTGTCTGTGGTTAAGCGGTCTGGGCCGGGGTCCACAGGCCCAGCAGAGGTCTGCAGTTCAAGTGGGGCCCTGTTGTGGGTCTACGGGCTCAGGGAATGGGCAAGGGGTTTCCAGCTGGACGGGGAGCTCCTGGAGGGGATTTGGGGAAGCGGTCCCCGGGCTGGACTCAGCAGTCTGGGAGGGGGTCCTGGTGCAGTCAACGAGGGCCTAGGCGGGGCTGTGGGGAGGATTTCGCGGGCCTGGCCGGAGTCAGCAATCCAGGCAGAGCTCCCGGAGGGGCTACGGGGAGGGGTCCGCGCTCCGAGGCGGCGGGGGTGGGGGCGAGGTGGGGTGTGTGTGGGAGAAGGCAGTCAGGGTTGGGGGTCCGGCGGGCAGGCGGGCGCGGGGGCGGCGCGTTGGGCCGTGCAGCAGTGCAGTGCCAAGCGCCGCGGGCGGGCGGTGCGGAAGTGGCGGCAGCTGCGGCGCTGGGGCCGCCATGTCACCTTTGTCTGCGGCGCGGGCGGACCTGCGGGTCTGCGCGGCGGGGACTGCGGTGATCCTGGCGCAGCCGCTGCGTCGCTGTGGCGGGGGCTTCACCGAGCTAGGTGAGCCGGCGGGTGGCGCGGGCCGGGGGCCGGGTGGGGCCGTTATGGCGGCGGCGGCTTCGCGGGGCCTGGGGTTCGGGTTCCGCGCTCCCTGAGACCCCCGGGGTGGGGCTGGGCAGCACCGTGGAGGTGGTGAGAGGTGGGCGCGGGCACGGACCGGGGTGGCGCTCTAACGTCGGAGCAGACGCAGTGGCGGCGGCGGCGGCTGCGCTGGACCCGGGGCGCGCTCCGTGCTCCCTGAGACCCCTGGGGTGGGGTTGGGCGGCGCCTGGAGGTGGTGAGGGGTGGGTGCGGGGCTTTACCTTGGCGTGGGAGGCGCTGGAGCAGCCGGGATCAGAGGCCATGGGGTCCTTGTGGGGCGCACGCTCCTCCCCTACCCAAGCACTGCCCCTTCACCCGGAAGACCCCCTTGCCACCTGCCGTGGGCCGGGGTCTCCCTTTAAGATCCTCCGAGTCCACACAGGGCCATGGCCGAGGTACCCGGGCACCTGCGCCCTGCGCTCCAGACCTCAGGCGCCTGTCCCCCGTTGCCTGGGTTCAGCTTGTGGCCCTGCGCTCTGCATGGCTGTCCCATGCGACCCACCTCGCTCCCCAACCCAGGGTCAGTTAGCAGAGGCCATGCCAGGAAAGGGTGGGCAGAGTGCCTTGGAGGAGTTGTATATCTCGGGGTCGGGGGTGGGGGACCGGGGGGCTGGGGATGTCACTCTCGGGGAGGTCTTGGCCAGCAGAAAATCACTTCCGGTCAGAGGCCACTTTTGTGGTTGTGCCTTGGAAAAAACACCTTCCTTTGAGTTGCAAACACTGGCAAACTTGCAGATGACAAGTAAGTGTGAGGTGAAATGTGTCCTTTTTATATAATGTGTTTTCTGGTTAAGCCCGGAGTTCCTCATCACTCAGCAGTTGACCGGACCTAGAACTGAACCAGGAGAGAAAGGGGTGCACCGGCAGCTTGGTATGGGACGCTCCATGCCAGTTTGTGCTCAGAACCCCACCCTGTTCCCCCTCCCTATTTCTTCCTGACTGGAGGAAGGAACTGCCAGTCTGCGCCCAGAACTGCTTCCCCGCCCCTGCCTACCTCTGACCGGACAAGGGAACTGTCTGTGTCTGGAACCCAGCCCTCTTCCACGCCCCTGCCTGACACTGACTGGAGGCAGAACCTGCTAGTCATTGCCCATCAGCCCGCCTCATTTCCCACCCTTGCCTGTTCCAGTCTGGATGGGAGACCTGGCAATTTTATTCTTGGAATCTGAAAATTGCATGTGCTCTTTTAAGACATTAAAATCATCCAGGGGGCTCCAGACTGCTATGCCTCTGTTCTGTGTATTTAACAAATGTGTAAACTCTTTACTTAGTGTAGGGTTAATCTTATGAGTATAAAGTAAACTGAAAATAGATCTTTGTAAACATTTTTTGAATCAGAATAAATCTTAAATTCTATTTTCCTGTGCACTTTTTAAAGATTTATTTATTGTTATTTGAAAGGCAGATGCAGGATGGGCAGGTGCTGGGCTGAGTACTCTGCCTTGGTGGTTTAGTGAGTGGTAAGCAGTGGCCCAAAGCAGAACATATGGGCAAATTCAGAGTTCAGACTTTTTTTAAAAAATAGAAACAGAACACCTTTCATGTAGTTCACAGATAAAATTCTTTTTTTTTTTTTTAAGGATTTACTTTTTTTTTTTTTTTTTTTTTTTTTTTTTTGTGAGGCAGAGTTTCAGAGGGACAGAGGCAGAGGCAAAGAGAGGTCTTCTGTCCTCTGGTTCACTCCCCAAATCACTGCAACGGCCAGAGCTGGGCTGAACTTAAACCAGGAGCCAGGAGCTTCTTCTGGGTCTCCCACATGGGAGCAGGGGCCCAAGGACCTGTGCCATCTTCTACTGCTTTCCCAGGCCATAGCAGGGAGGTGGATCAGAGTTGGAGGTGGGACTCAAACTCAGACCCTGTGATATGGCATATGGACACCACAAGCTGGGTCTTAATCCCCACAAGAAACACCTGCCCTATATATCATTTTTCAACAAAAAGTAACTTGCCCAGAATGACAAGACGTTATGGGGCAGAGTGGCCTTGTTTGGGGATTTTCTCTGTTTCTATATTGACTGCTGGGTAGAAGGGAACTGGTTTTTCCACATTGTTTCTATACCGTTCTCTCTTGTGATCCATTTTTTTTTTATTATTATTAAATCCCAGAAGGAAAATCTGAGAAATGTGGCAGCTCATTGTATAGGTGCAGAGTTGGACAAGGTAGCAAGTAATGGGAGTAGTGGCTATAATAATGGAATATAAATCAATCTTCCGGGTACCAAGATCTCTTTGAGCCAAATACCAACCATTGATTATTCAACCCCTGTTGACATAATTACTACTAATAAAATTAATGGAAGCTCATTCAATCACAGTGGTGGTGATAATGGAATATAAATCCAAATTCTAGGTACCAGGGTCTCTTTTAGCCAAATACCAACCATATCAATTCTCTGTTGAAATAATTGCTTCTAATAAAATTAATAGTAGTAGTAGTAGTAGACTATCAAGCTTTGTTCTAGATATCAGAACCTCTTTCCACCAAATGATGATGGTGGTGGGGATAGTTATGATCATGATGGTGAGAGAATTAGCCTCCATAGAACCTCTGTGGTCCCCGCGAAGGGATGAAGATGATCATAGATGATGATGACTGTGGTGGTGATGATGACAATGGTGATGCTGATGACAGTGATGGTGGTGATGATGACAGTGATGGTGATGCTAATGAGGGTAGTGATGATGACGGTGATGATGGTGATGGTGATGATGGCAGTGACAATGGTGGTAATATGACAGGAAGATCTCACAAAGGAGGGAACTGGAGAGTACGCAAGAGAACACTGGAATCTCATCACAGTAACTGCGGCCTTGTCCCACCTTTGGGAAGCTGCTGCAACCAGGAATGCTTAGGTAATCAGGCACGTGGTAGTGTTATCATCCTATAAAGTCTCCAGCAGGCACCGTTGCATGAAAGTGAGCATTACCTGGTGTAAGTGTTCGTGAGGAAGTCTCAGAATGGCCCCCATCCATCACTGGGGCAACGTGGACACTCCTGATACCCTTTATCCTTTTACATCCACTGTGTGAGTTTCCACTGGGGTGCCATAGCCCCATAGCCAAATACCACTCATAGAGTGACTTAAAACCACAGCTATGTGTATTCTTGCACAATTCTGGATGCCAGTGTTTGAACTCAAGGTGCTCGTAGGGCTGTGCTCCCTCCAGAGGCCTTAGCAAAGGATCCTTCTCTTATGGACTGAGTTTTTCTGTGCCCTTCATTGTGAAGGGAATGTGCCAGTATTTAGAGGTGGGGCCCATGAGAGGTGAATAATTGAGCTCTCCTTTCCATGTGAGGACAGTCAGGAGATGACCCTCTATGAGCCCAATACAGTGTTCTCACTGGAAACCCAATCTGTGAACAACTGGGTCTGGGGCTTCTGGCTTCCGGCTTCCAGCTTCCCGCTTCCAGAACTGTGAGAAATGTGCATTGGGTAAGCCATCTAGAGCAAGCTGACTGAGACACCTTCATGGCCTCCTCCAGACTCTTCGGGTTGTAGCTGCACCCCTGCAGTATCTTCCTTCATTTCAGTTGGCTTCTCCTCTGTGTCTCCTCTTAAGGACACCTGCCATTGCATCATCTGGGACAGCTTCATCCTGAGATCTGTCCCTGAATTAATCTGCAAAACCCTATTGCCCACTAAGGTCCCGTTTACAGCTTGGGAGATGGGTGTGTGTTTTGATGTCTCTGTTCCATTCATTGTAGTTGTGTCAAGTTTACTGTGTAAGCTCCGGGGAGAGGATATCTCTTTCCTGCCTCTTCCAGCTGCTGGTGGCTCCAGGCGTCCACATCTTTCTACTCGTCTTTCTCTATCTTGTGGTTTCTCTGTGGCTTCATCTCCTCATCTGTTTGCTATGAGGACACTTCTCAATTGATTTAGGGGCCACTCTAAGACAGGATGGTCTCATCTCAACCCCTTTCTTATGTTTACGTAGACCTTGTTTGCAGATAAGGCTTAGCTCCAAGATACCTGCTGGTGAATCGCTCTTCAATTGTTCTTCAACCCACAGTCATCATTAGTGAGATATGTTTTGCTTGATTATGAACATACCCTAAATTCTCAGAAAATGCATGGGAGGTCAAGTTTGTTATTTAATGTTCCAACAGCTTGTAGATGTAACCAGCAGTTTTAAGAAAACCCAGCCTCCTTTTTGGGCTCCTTAGTCATGGACACAGTCCAAAATGGTAGCTTGGAGCTTCTGGACATTTGTCAACAACAACAGGAACCCCAGGGTCACCGGCTTCTGGGTCATCAACATTACCACAGCAAGATGCTGATGATGTCACACGATGATGTCACACGCTGATGGGCACAGCAGATGTGATGTTTCTGCCCTCAGATGGGGCTGCACTTGCAGAAATCGCGTGTGTGGAGAAATCCGTGGTCACAGATCACAGATTATGTGAAATCTAGAGTGTGCGATGTTTGAAACAGATTTTCTTCCAATGTACAGTTTGTAGGAAGTGTTCCTGCCTCTTACCCCAATTAAAATAATCTCCATAGTGAACGCAAAGTCCTGCTTTTGCTTCTCAGGTGTGCTTAATTCCAGCTGCAGTGCCATTGGATGTGGGTTTTTGCTCTTAATCAGCTCTAAGGCAAGTGGGCAGTGACAGTGCAGGGTCTGCCTAGGTGTGTTTGGGCTCCCTAGATACAAGCAGCCTCCTCTAAAATGACCTATGCAGCTCTCCCGTGTGCCCAGTTCCTGGTGGGCCCCCAAAAACAGTCAGTAGCAGTCAGCCGCTCTGAGGAATGAGCTGAAAGGGATGGCCCTTCTGAACTGCCATGTGTAAAAGCAAAAATGTTTCCTGCAGCTGGAACATGTGCATAGGATTCAGCTGGAAGAAAGAGCAGGCTTGTGTGTTACATTGCCCTCGGCTTGGCGGAAGCCGCAGGCCAGGAAACCTGACCCAGTGAGCCGCAGCCCCCTGTAAGTCCAAACGGAGCTGCTCCTTCCTGTGTGGGCCATGTTGCTCAGGGTGCCTGTGCGAACCCGGGTCCCTTTGCTCATGCTGTGTTTGTCTCACTGCTTCATAGCAGGTCCGCACGGATGAATGGACGTCCACCTGGCAAGGCAAGGCTCCCAGCGGACAAGCCATGGAGAGTAAGAGTCTGGAAGGTCCCCAGGCAGACCTGAAGCTGGTGGCCCACCCCCGTGCCAAGAGCAAGGTGTGGAAGTACTTTGGCTTCGACACAGACGCGGACGGATGCATCTTGCAGTGGAAGAGGATCTACTGCCGCATCTGCATGGCGCAGATCGCCTACTCTGGAAACACCTCCAACCTGTCCTACCACCTGGAGAAGAACCACCCCGAGGAGTTCTGCGAGTTCGTCAAGAGCAACACTGAGCAGATGCGTGAGGCCTTCGCCACTGCCTTCTCCAGACTCAAACCGGAAGCATCCTCCCTGCAGTCTGTGCCGGACACACTGGCCACCACCACGGCCCCTGCCAAGGCCGGCCACAGCTACGAGAGCAAGAAGCAGCAGGAGCTCACAGCTGCCATCCTGGGGCTCATCTGCGAGGGGCTGTACCCAGCGTCCATCGTCGATGAGCCCACTTTCCGGGTGCTGCTGAGAACAGCCGACCCCAAGTACGAGCTCCCTAGCCGGAAATTCTTCACCAGCAAGGCCATTCCGCAGAAATACGGGGAGGTGCGGGAAGCCGTGCTCAAGGAGCTGGCTGATGCCTCGTGGTGCGGCATCTCCACGGACACGTGGCGGAGCCACAGCCAGAACCGAGCCTACGTGACGTTGGCGGCCCATTTCCTGGGCGTGGGCTCCCCCAGTGGCCTGTCCATGGGCTCCCGGTGCCTGAAGACCTTCGAGGTGCCGGAAGATAACATGGCAGAGACCATCACCCGTGTGCTGTACGAGGCCTTCATTGAGTGGGGCCTCAGCACCAAGGTCTTTGGGGCCACCACCGATGCTGGGAGGGACATGGCAAAGGCCTGCTCCTTGCTGGACATCCCGGTGCAGATGCCGTGCCTCGGCCATGCCTTCGACGTGGCCATCCAGCAGGCCTTCCAGTTGCCCAAGCTGGCCGGGCTGCTCTCCCGGTGCCGTAGACTGGTGGAGTACTTCCAGCACTCGCCTGTGGCCATGTGCATCCTGTATGAGAAGCAGAGGCAGCAGGGCGTAGCCACACCACCATGCATGCTCGTGAGTGACCGCGTGTGCTGGTGGGGCAGCACGCTGGCCATGCTGCGGCGGCTCCAGGAGCAGCAGTTGGTTGTAGCGGCTGTGCTGGTGGAGGACAGCAACAACCACCACCTTATGCTGGAGTCTGCTGAGTGGACCACTGTGGCGGGACTCGTGGACCTCCTGCAGCCCTTCCAGCAAGTGGCTGAGACACTGGCCACCTCCAGGTACCCCGCCATCAGCATGGTGAAGCCACTTCTGCACATGCTTTTGAACAGCACGCTCAGTGCCAAGGACACGGACCCCAAGGAGATCAGCATGGCTAAGGAGGTCATTGCCAAGGAGCTCTCCAGGACATACCAGGACAGCCCTGAGGTGGACCTGTTCCTGAACGTGGCTACCTTCCTGGACCCACGGTACAAGAGGCTGCCCTTCCTGTCTGCTTTCAAGAGGCAGCAGGTGGAGAACCGTGTGGTGGATGAGCTGAAGGGTCTTCTCGACAAGGCCCAGGATGCCCACTTGGGGCCGACAGCGTCTGAGGACAAGGTCTACCCTGTACCTGAAGAGCCGCCGGCCAAGAAGCTCCCGCTGGCATCCACACCCCCATCCAGTACCGCCATCCACGACCTGTTGGCTGAGATCTTCTGCCCTGTGGACTGTGGGGAGGACCAGGAAGAGTGGCACGCCCAGGCTATGGAGGAGCTGAGCAATTTCAAGTCACAGAAGCTGCTCGGCCTCCACGAAGACCCCCTCAAGTGGTGGTCGGATCGCCTAGCACTCTTCCCTGGCCTGCCCAAGGTGCTGCAGAAGTATTGGTGCGTGGCGGCCACGCGTGTCTTTCCTGAGCGCCTCTTTGGATCATCGGCCAACATGGTCAGTGCCAAGAGGAACCGCCTGGCCCCCGCGCATGTTGATGAGCAGATCTTTCTCTATGAGAATGCCCGGAGCTCTGGGGCTGAGGGTGAACCCCAAGATGAAGATGAGGGCGAGTGGGGCTTGGACCAGGAGCAGGTGTTCCAGCTGGGGGATGGCACCAATGGCACCTTCTTTGGCATCAGAGACACCAGCTTCTTATAGGGACAATGGTTTCCAATAGCTTGAGAACTGCGATGAATTCATCTTGAAAAGTCTTGTAGAAGTTGGCAGTAAGGCCATGAGGTTCTGGATTTGTCTGTCTGGGGAGGGTCTTTATGATTGATTCTGTGTCTTGACTAATGGGTCAGTTTAAGATTTTCTGTGTCTTCATGATTCAGTTTTGGTAGTTGTGTGGCCCACGGTGGGGATGTTTCCACTCTAAATATTGACTCGGCTGGCTCCATGTTGATCTCAGAGACAATGCACGGCATGTGAACTGAGACAGGTGAGAAGAAGGAAGAAGGGCATGGCCCTGAGCATCTTGGAGCCCACCAAATGAATTTTCCTCTGTGGGTTTCTCCTTATCCTTGAGACTCAGGAGATTAGCTCTGCACCCAGTTCCTGTCTGGCAGTTGCAAATCCCAAACCAGAGCACGCAGAATGTTTTTCCTCCCTGCAATTCATGTTCTTCCTGGGAGGGCTTTTGTTGCAGCCCTGGGCATCGTGGATGAAGGGGAGGAATGCCCGGAGCTCAGGTTGGGACACAAGGAACCTCCCCCAAGCATTGGTTATCATACATGAGCTTGCTGCACGTACACATCTTCCTTGAAAGCAGGAGGCTGCTTCCTGTGTAAACTTGGACAAGATTGCCATGTGCATCTCTTATAAATCCCCAAGTTTTATGGTTGGTGGTGAGAAGTGTTAATGAGCATAAAATGCACACATTTGGGTAAAAAAATGTTGTTGTGTGTGGGATATCTCTGGTCATACTGCCTGCAAATGGTCATCTCTAGTGTTGGCCAAATATTTGCTTTGTAGACACAGTCCTTCCAAGCTGTGGCATTCTGAGCCTGTGATTCCTGTGTCTCTTGATGTCTGATATGTGCAGTTGCTTTCGGGGTGATTGAGAATAAGGCTTTTCATTTTGTGACCTGCACTTGCCCAGCTCTTCACCATTCTGAAAAGTGAGGGTGACCAAGGCATATCTCTTGAATTCTGTTTTTCCACCTCAGTGACTTAGGAGGTGGTATAGTGTTATTTTTTTTAATTGTTATATTGTTTTGGGGGCAGAGGGTCATCATAGGTTTTCTTTGATAATTTTGGAGGAAGTCAAAAGACATTTTTCCAACAGGGGAATTATTTTAGAACTTGCCAGAAAGCCTGCTTTCCCTAAGAGGGACTTTGTGACTCCTGTTTTTAAAAAATTTTTGTAACCTTTTATTTGAGGTGTACAAACTTCATGAATTTCATGTAAACAAATTTAATGATTCTTCCCACGCCACCCTCCCTCCCTCCCACCCACACTCTCACCCTTCTTCCTCCTCCCTCTCCTAGTCCCATTCTTATTTTTTACTAAGAACTATTTTCAATTAACTTTATACATATACAATTAACCCTACACTAAGAGTTCAACAAATAGTATGAAAAACAACCAACAAAAAACCCCTTTTATTACACAGGAAAATGTGTGTTTCTGCAGACACCTGCCTCTCCATGCCTCATTTCTCATTTTTTAAGCCTTTTCTGTGTTTTTTTTTTTTTTTTTCATTGTTGCTTTACTCACTGACTCTTGGTGTGGGCATTTCACGGTTGAGGTGGCTGTGTCTCATATCTCAAAGCCTGGGTTCAGTCCCAGCTCCACCCCCCAAATCCAGCTTCCTGCTAAGGCGGATCCTGGGAGGCAGCAGGTGATGGTGCAAGTGTTCGGGTCCCTGCCACTCACCTGAGAGACCTGGATAGAGTCCCAGTCCCTGGTTTCCGCCTGCCTAGTCTCAGCTGAGAAGACGGCCCTACAGCTGCTTTTTTTTTTTTAACTTTTATTTAATGAATATAAATTTCCAAAGTACGACTTATGGATTACAATGGCTTCCCCCTCATACCGTCCCTCCCACCTGCAACCCTCCCCTTTCCCACTCCCTCTCCCCTTCCATTCACATCAAGATTCATTTTCGATTCTCTTAATATACAGAAGATCAGCTTAGTATACATTAAGTAAGGATTTCAACAATTTGCTCCCACACAGAAACATAAAGTGAAAAATAATAGATGATTTTTTTAAATGATGATGAAATCAGATCAGACCTATTGTCATGTTTAATCCCAGTGAGAGTCAAGTTGGGAATTGATAAATTTTTTTTTAACAGAAGATCAGTTTAGTATGCATTAAGTAAAGATTTCAACAGTTTGCACCCCCATAGAAACACAAAGTGAAAAATACTGTTTGAGTACTCGTTATAGCATTAAATCTCAATGTACAGCACATTAAGGACAGAGATCCTACATGAGGAGTAAGTGCACCGTGACTCCTGTTGTTGACTTTACCAATTGACACTCCTGTCTATGGCATCAGTAATCTCCCTATGCTCCAGTCATGAGTTTCCAAGGCTATGGAAGCCCTCTGAGTTCTCCGACTCTTGTTTAAACAAGGTCATAGTCAAAGTGGAGGTTCTCTCCTCTCTTCAGAGAAAGGTACCTCCTTCTTTGAAGACCTGTTCTTTCCACTGGGATCTCACTCACAGGGATCTTTTTGCCAGAGTGTCTTGGCTTTCCATGCCCTACAGCTGCTTTTCTCTAGAACGTTCTCGGTGGCTTCTTCCATTCCCCAGAAGCTTGCTTTTCTTGCCTGTTGTGGCTACAACACAATGTGGTGAACTTTGTCAGTGACTCCAAGTTCAGATTCCCTTTCCTGTATCCTACAGTGACCAAGCCAGGGCTCCCACAGGGTCCTTGGGGTTTCCAAGAAGCCCAAGGCAGTCACGTCCCCTAACCTGCAATGGTTGGCTTAGCCCCTGTCAATCTCACAAAGAAATCCTCATCAGACTTGGCATCATGGTCCCGGAGTTTTGGATATCCTTAATTTCCAGAGATACTCCCTTAAAATTTTAAGGAGCTTAAAAAGGATGGCATTGTGGCATAGTGGGCTAAGCCTCCACCTGCAGTGCCAACATCCAATATGACCATCAGGTCATGTCTCGGCCCCTCCTCTTCTAATCCAGCTCCCTGATAATATGCCTGAGAAAGCAGCAGAAGATGCCTAAATGCTTGGGCCTTTGCACCCATGTGGGAGACCCAGAGGGAGCTTCTGGCCCCTGGCTTCAGATAGGCCCATCTCCAGCTGTTGTGACCATTTTCAGGAGTGAACCAGTAGACGGATGACCTCTATGTCTCTCCCTCTTTTTTTCTGTAACTCTACCTCTCAAATAAACAATCTTAAAAACAAGGACTTAAAAAGACAAATCAGTAAAATATGCCCGATGCCATCTGCTGCAGTCATCTAGGGAATGAATGGAACAACATTGTTCAAAGCAGTGAATGATTTCTGTATTAACTTCTCTGTTTCCTGGTAAATTTTATTAGGAAAAAAAATTGGAAATGAGTTTTGTATTCCTGGAGATTGTCTTTCATGAGACAAAAACGTCAGCCCAGTTTTGTCTGTTTTTCTCAAAGAGGGATTTTTTTTTTTTTTTTTTGACAGGCAGAGTGGACAGAGAGAGAGAGACAGAGAGAAAGGTCTTCCTTTGCCGTTGGTTCACCCTCCAATGGCTGCCACGGCTGGCGTGCTGCAGCCGGCGCATCACGCTGATCCGAAGGCAGGAGCCAGGTGCTTCCTCCTGGTCTCCCATGGGGTGCAGGGCCCAAGGACTTGGGCCATCCTCAAAGAGGCATTATTCTCACAATGGCCTAGCATCCATTAGGAAATGACACTGTCCAAGTTTCTGCTCTTCTGAGCTCCATTTTCTTAGCTCTGGGGAGATGTTTTGGTGCTGAGCATTGGGGAGAGGCCACAAAATTGCTAATTTAGAACAAGATTTAAATTTAGCTGTGTCTAAGTCACCTTGTTCTCTCAACTCCTATGAGCTGGGTCAGTGGGCACTCATGCAGGTGTCCCGAAGAGAAATGTCTGCCTCAAGCGTTTTTAGGGTCCCTGTTCATGTCCCTGTGATTTCTTACCTCTGTGTGATCATTTTCATGGGCTGAAATTCTGAAATTTCCAGAAGAGTAGGAAGATGCACACCAAAAGTCATATGTCAGTGAAGGCATGCTTGCAAAAGCCAAGAGTGCAGACATGGTTTATTTCTGTTGCCAGAGATGTTGAATTTGATATATCATTTTTAAGAAAATAGATTGAGTATTTGAAACATATGAAACTATAAATATACGAGTATTTTTTTCTTTTAGTTAGAAAAAGAACCTCATGGTTAAGAAGAAAATAACTTTATGAATGATTCTAATGAATACCTGCTTCAATAAAATGTAATACACATTTTTGCCCATTGCCTATTCATGCTGCTTTTCACAAAATAGC